TCACCGAAGCCCCGGAACCGAGCAACAAAAAGGAGCTCCAAGCCTTTCTTAGAATGCTGAGTTTTTACAGTTGTTTTCTGCGAAACAGGGCATCCATCGCCGAGAGGCTGCATTGACTGCTGGGCAAAGCCACCAAATGTCGCCGGAGCAACGAAGAGCACAAGGCTTTCAAACAAACCAGGGTGCTGCATAGTTCAGCACCCCTGCTCGCTCACTATGACGACAAGCGGAAACTTGTTTTGTCTTCCGACGCATCATCATACGGTGTAGGGTCAGTTCTGTCGCAGCTGGATGACGCCGGAGGGGAAGATCGACCCACCTATCCATCAAGAACACTGGGAAAAATCGAACGTGATTACGCTCAGCTGGATAAGAAAGAACGAGCCCTCATCTTCGGCTTGAAAGATTTTCACCAGTACGTCACCGGGTGACAAGTGACCGTGCACACCGATCACAAGCCACTTCTGGAAAAATGAGCCAAGGTCGACAAATTCCGGCATTGCTGTCACCAGGCATGACCCGATGGTGCCTTCTACTTGGCTGCGGCTACGAGTTGCGTTACCGAAAAGGCAAGGCGCACCCGAACGCGGACGCACTCAGCCATCTACCACTGCCCGTTATAAAGGACGAAGCCGCATCAGAAGGAGATGTACTAAAGCTCGGAGCAATGGAGCGCCCGCCCTTGACGGGTCAACGCATAGCGCGTCTAACCAAGGAAGACTCCGTTTTGTCAAAAGTCTATCAAGACTACAAGATGGAAGCACCACAAACTGGACAGGGGACGAATTCGCACCGTACAAGCTCAGAGAACTCGAGTTGGCAACGCACAACGGCGGTGTGATGGGGGGAGGGTGCATGTGTTGTTTTACCAGAAGCAGCACGCGAGGAAGCCTTGAAAATGTTTCACGCCTACCACGCCGGTATTGTGGCCATAAAAAGTACTGCTCGGAGCAATTTCTTGTGGCCGAGGCTTCACGCAGACATAGAAGCCACAGCAGCTGCGTGTGAGACGTGCCAACAACATCATTGGGCAAAGCCTACGGTACCAAAGCCTGAGTGGTCACCTACCACTCAACCCTGGGAGACAATTCACATCGACTTTACTGGACCGATCAGCGGGATATCGTACCTCATCATCGTCGAAGCTTACTTGAAGTGGTTGGAGGTGAAGCCGTGCACTCCACGACGTCTACACGCATCATCGACGCCCTTCGCTCCACCTTTGCAACTTTTGGAGTACCGAGAATCCTTTTCTTTCACAACGCACCAAATTTAGTGTCGAACGAAACAGATGAGTTCTTAATGAGAAACGGCATCAAACACCACACCACTGCTCCATATCATCCGACCACGAACGGGCAAGCGGAGCACATGGTGGGCGAAACAAAAAAGGCCCTCGTAAAGCTCAAGGAAGAAACAATCCAGTGCAGAATCGCCAGGTTCTTGTTCAGGCATCATACGACGGTTTCAACTTGCACGGGGAAAATGCCCGCCAAAGCAAAGTTCGGCCGACGGATTGCCACACCTCTCGATCTCCTGAAGCAGAGCTCGTCGGCAAGCGGAGACCGAGAAGTTCCGACGGACGGAGTAATGGCAGATTATTTGGCAGGTCAAACCGCCTTCGTGAAAAATTTCAGTGGAAGACAAGCATGGGTTTCCGCGGTAATCATGAAACCGCTAGGAATTTGATCATTTCAAACAAGAACGGAGAACGGAAAACTTCAGCGTCGACACTTTGATCATATTCGCCCACAAAATTACACTTGGAAACTCTAGATGCCAAAGAGAAAGCTTCTCGACTCTTAATCTACCCAACCGCCGAAGACATAGACGAGTCGCAAATGACACAGCCGATGACAGATGCCCCGGGGGCACTAATGTTGACGTCCAGGACAGAAGCACCGTGGACAATAATGCTGACATCCAGGACAGAGAGACCGTGGACAATACGAACGCCAAGGAGAGGCCACCTTGGACGACAACGCGGACGTCCAGGCGGAACCCGGTTCAAGGACTACCCGAGGTGGTCGCCGGATCAAGCAGCCAGCACACTTTAAAGACTATGTACTGGACGTTAATCAAGAGGAGGGATATCATATATATCGCGGTCAAGCAAGACGAAGACGAGGCTCAAGACAAGTACGCGCGCACCCGTGATAGCGGTCACAGACTGATTCCAAAACGCCATTAGCAATGGCTAGCTTCTTTCCGAATTGAACTGTACATAGTTTAAATAAGCGCAGATTTAACAGAAAAAGATGTATTAGGACTCAATTCGAAACTTGCAGAGCGTCATCGATAACCACACAATCAATCAATTTCACAACAACTTAAAGCACGCGGGAAACTCCTGGGTGCCCCAAAGCTTTCAGTCGTGCAGCAAGTGCAAAGATGGCGGCGGAGAAAGGTCGATGATAAATCATTCGCGTTCCACCAACTTTAGCTTTCCGCCTGCGGCACGAAAGAAAACTTGGATGTTCCCCCGAGCTTCCCGCGTACTTTCGGCCGTTTTATAATTGGCTGCTTTAGTAGTTTTTGATAACGCTCAACAGGTTTGTAATTGATTTCGTGTATTTAACTTTACAAATCAAAAAGTTTACTGTGAACTTTTACTTGAATATTTGACTTATTGCGAAGATAAGTCGCTTATATAATGCCGTCCGGGCAGTAGTAGGCTCTTGCACGAACGGCATTAGTGTATCTTTTACACTGCTGTTTTATTAAGTCTGTCGGAATTAAAAATCAAACGCCATCTATATATAACGAACGAAGGCGGGAAGAACAATGTTTTTAAAACGCGTGTTGTAAAGTTTATGGAAAGTGACATAGGACAGTACAGTTCACTCATCTGCCTATTTTTTAATATTATATTTTTGGAGACGACGCACGATAATAAAAATAACTGTCATATATTCAAACGTGACTCTTAAATTTTGCACATGATGATACCGTGTCTCTGAAGGTCATACAGAAAAATGAATACCTGTATCCGTGATGCTAAAAAGAACAAGAGGAGTTCTGGAGCACAACGAGCACATATCAAGTGCTAGCATACGCCATACGCCGTACCACGTGGCCGCGAGTGCTTCTAGAACACCTCTGATTGGATACATTTAGTTTCGGTGTAGTAATGCGACAGAAAAGAAGCGTCGAAAAGGCGAGGCTGAGGGGTGTAGTGTTTGATGAAAGGTTTTTGCGTGGTTGGACAAGAAAACGCTGATTTTGCTAACGCAGAATACGTCCGATTGCTTTGCTCGCGCGTGTAGACGGTAATCTTCGGTCGCACAGGTGCACATTCTCATACGGAAGAGCCGTGAGGCTGCTTCGACGTGACTACCATTTCCGCAGTCGATCGAGCGCTGCGTGAGACTCATGTGCACGGGTCTGCTCAAGACATGCCATAATTAGGCGTTCGGTTGAAGAAGACAGCGAAGATCCATTCGTGCCTTGGATTGTGATTGACCACTGTAAAAACTTGGAAAAAAAGCGGCCGCAGTTTTTTGGTACAGCGGCGACTTCACACACAGAGAAAACAAAATCATATCCTGGCTGGGGTCATCTTGGTTTTTTAGAATGTTTTCATAGGACACTTGGTGAAATGAATCAGAGTGATCAAATCTGACAATTGTGTTTACAATGCATTGTATGGTGTTTTCGTCTTCAGCGTGTGAAAGAGAATTCTTGTGGGAAACCAGACAACAGCCAAACTTCCAGATGCCTCTGGTATTTCTTTGCAATTTCGGCACATAATGGGCACACCAGTGGCTGACCAGCGAAAAGCCAAACTTTGGTATGCCAAACGAAAAAAAAAAACCTTAGACAAGAAAAAAAAAAAGCCTTGGAATGCCGTCGATCCCCCAACCAGGCCTATTGTTAGGAAAAGTACTTTGGCACTGACGAGCGCCTTACAAAACCTTAGTTGGCCCAACCAGGCCCAAGCCGCACCTTTCTCAAGTTAGGTGCTTCTCTAACGTGATGCGTGAGTATCCTTGAGCCTTCGGGAAACTCAGTTTTGTCGTGCAATATTTGCACTTTGAGAGACGAGCGGGTCTCTTAGCATGTTGATACTTGCTCAGATCCTGTTGGCTTTTGCTGGAACCACCGTCTTGCGGAGCTTTTTAGAATGTGAACATTTACACTCTTTCTGGGCGGCCGAGAGTTTCGAAGCGCCGGAGGGGAGCTTCGCGTCAAGAGTCTTAAAAACCATAACCAACAACACATAAAAATGTGAAAAAAAGAAACATCGTGTACTGAGCAGTTATGCAACTTTTTATGGTGTTTCTCAATTATGTATAGCAATCTTGAATATACGCCTTTTTCCACTTCTCATTGGCAATATAATTTTCGAGAACCGTGGTAAAAGGTAATAATGTGAAATCTACAACCGATGGTGATCCACTTAACGGTTGAAAGACGTCACATAGTATTTCCTGCTAAATTAAGCGAAAACAAATAGACAACTGTTCAGCACGACTAGTCACATAATGTGGAATCGTTTTAGAGATGAAAACAATGAAAAAAAACGCCGTAAAGTTTTTAACCAAGGTATAAATGACAAAGTATTACAGATAGTTTCATATTATATTTCGATGAAAGCAAACTTCATATGGGTATATTAGGTACACATTGAGCGAATATGCCTTCTCCAAGACCACGTTGAATAGATCTAAGACTGCGGAAGAAATTATCATATGAGTCGAAGGGAAAGAAAAGGACATGACGACGCTTCAATGCAGACGTCGTCCGGTTCTTTTCTTTTTCCTCGACGTATATGTTCATTTCCGCCCCAGTCTCAGGTGTATTCAAGGTGGTTAACATTCACCTGATTGCCGACACACGTACTATGTTATCTATGCAAAACCACATTTAAGTTGTTTTGTTTTTTTAAAGCTATGTATCCTTTTTCCCATGCATAAATTTGCCCCGACATTCCTATAGACCGGCACGCGGAGCGGCTCTGTTTACCAACACGGCCCGCAGGCCGCGCATGCGCAGAAGCTGTGTGGGCAAAAGCGCCTGTTTTCGCCATTGCGTTGTGTGGCGTGCGATCGCTGTTTACATTGTAGATTCACTTCTGGTTTATTTGTGCGTCGTATTTTCTGCTAGCTTATGGCGCACGCGAAGCCCGACTATTTGAGCTCGCTCCCCGAGCCTGAACGGCAGCGGTATCGCGACAAACTGCGCGTGGACGGCGTTACCTTCGACGATCCATACGACGTAAACAAGGCCTGTTGGAGTTCCGACGTGAAGTTGCTGCCACCGACGTCGATGGCTCACGTCGTCATTTATTTGGTTTTCTCGCCAAGCCAATTCACGGCCGACACGGTACAGGCGTACAAGTCTCTCGAGGCCTACAATTACTTCGAGTCTGGTGAGTTTTATGCTCGGTTCAGTGATACACCTGCGAACATATCTGGAGAGCGTTTCGTGTCTCGAATTGACCTAACCTTCGTTGCATCACAGGCTTGGTACGAGAGTGCAAGCTTTGGAAGCCCCAAGGAGCTGCAGTCTGCTTCGTGAGAGCAAAAGTGATGCCCTCGCAGCGTGCAACTACTGAAGCTCACGACGCCTGGGTATGCCTGACCAACGCGTCTGGCGGGGTGCGCGCTGCGCACTGCACCTGCAAAGCTGGGTATGACCTATTTTCGTTAAACATCATGCCTCCTCGGTGCCTTGCTTGGGCGAAAAAGCTTTTCCGCTGCACCACAGCTCAGATCGTGCCACCTTCGGCCGCGACGTGCCTATCACGCCCAGTCTCCCTTACGCGTTGGTCGAGGATCGTTTACTGGATACAACATCAGAGTTTTATTGGGTGTTTACGTTAGTCTATTGCCTCAGCCAACTACCTCCGTACGGGCGACGCTAAATGAATAATTTTGACTACAGTTTGAATTCTGTGGTGCAGGTAGTGTGTCGTGGACCATTAGGCGAAAATACAATCTCATACATATTAAAAGGTTTTGCTTCACATTTTATGCAGGCTGACTGAGGTCTGCAGCCATGTTGCTGCAGTCCTGTACGCTGTGGAGTCCACAGTTCGAGAGAACACGGATGGGGCATCTTGCACATCGAATCCGTGTGTCTGGAGTGCGAACGTGGCCAAGAAGGTAAAGTTTATTGATCCTTTTAAAGCTAGAATGTTATTCTGACACAGCACATCATTTTGCACATTTTAGGCACAGATGGTGCCACTAGATGAAATCAATCTGTGCAAACCTGGGAAGCGGGCCAGGCGTATTGCCAAGGAACCAGACCACGTTGCCGCAGCTTATGTGCCTGAAGATGAGGCACTGTTCCGGAGGCTGCAGGAAGTTAATCCTCAAGCTGCCATTCTTCGTTCAATTCCGAAATTGAATGCCGAGGACACGGATTCTGCCTCGGAGGACGAGGAAACCTACAGCCTGTTGCGGTATAACATTTTTTCATTGCTGAAGGGTAAAACTATGCTAATTGACCAAAAATGAGAGCATGCATGTCACTGCGGATGTGATGTGCAGACGCTAAACACGCAAGCATATCTCACTACAAAATTTTCTACAAATATTGCATGTAACAAAAAACTGATTATTGATTTGAGATAAAGATGGTAGGCAGATGCATTAATTTTAGCACGCACCATGTTTCTTAGTAAACAGGTACGATCTAAGAAACATGTAATTGTGGTACAATAAGTGACACAGCGATGACTCTACTTGTCAAAATTTGTTTGTGATCACTTGGGGGCAACTCGAATTTGATTGTTCGAAGTGCTGATAGCGGTTACGAAGACTTGTGAATTCCTTTTGCCATAGCAGGTGTGGGCATTGCAAGACAGCGAAAAGACAAATGAGTGTGCAGGCGGCTGGTGGATGTTCATCATATTGTAAATTACCCGAGGTGGCGATAAAAAGGTAGAAACATTTTTAATTGAAGAGGGGATGAGAAACTGCTTAAAATTAGATGTTTCTTTTCCTGTGTCTTTGTTTCGACTGTGAATATTTGTCTCTTTGCCATTGTCTCGGGTAATTTGAAATGCGGCTTAATGAAGTGCCCTTCAGAGCCAGTACTGTCATATCATATGTCGAGATACCTAGGACAACCCTAGGGCACTCTGGAGTCATCCAATCTAATTCAACTCAAGATAATTTAATCAAATTGACATGAATTAGCTCTCAGAAAGGTAAGTGGCATTGTACTAACAAGTTTCTTTGTTTAAATTTTTTCAGGAATGCAGTGAAGTCCGGCTCGACGAAGGACAGCCTGCCTGCGGACCTCTTCGTTCCACTATCAGAGGTCGAGAGGATTGAGAAGGGTACAAGGCAGCAGGCCAGCTGCCTTCTTTGGAAAGAGGCGCGCTACGGACGGCTGACTGCTTCGGTCATGTTCAGGGTGTGTTGGCATTTTCACTTGATTTATTGTCACTTGAGAAACATATCATTTTGCTGTCATTTTTTGGTGACTTTACTTCTTTGTCTGTGTTGCATTAATGGGGCGGCACTGAAATCACAGTGCTAGCATTCCATACATAGCACTGCAGTGTAAATTAATAAGGTCAAAACAGCAAACTGTTTAAAATATTTTTAAGTGAGTGACAGCTACATGGTTGCGCCGTACTGACACCTAGTGACTGTGACCTCTTTCCTGGTGCTGAGGCATTATTTGTCTATGGATTGCGAACTGGCGGATTCGAGACCCAGGTGATCCCCTCCCTAGCAGCATTTGGCGAGTCGCTTGAGCCTGAGTTGTTTTGTTGCATAAAGTCTCAATATTCCCTAGTCATCTAGCAATAGTGAACAAAACAACATTAGGCCAATATAAACAGATTGCTGCTCCATTATAGCCTCGTCCCACTAGAGCGACAAACCGGTTTTTGTTCGAAGACACCACAAAGTTCCGTGTCGCCGATGCTGTCCCACTGCAGCGACCAACACCCGCGACAGTCGCCGACAAGCGACGACAAACGATCGACGACGGACTAGTTTTTGTCTTTCGTTGGACTTGAAGTGCAGCAAGCAGTCCCACTAAGGAACATCTCTCGGAGACAAAAACTTATCCTCCTTGCCCGCTTGTGCCTTCTGTTGCCTCCCTTCCCACCCTTCTAACCTTCCTCACGGAACAAGAAACCCTTGGCGGCCCCTCCTCTTTCCCGGTCCCACGATTGCTCGTAGTGGTCGCGGGCGCGGCTTGCTTGCTGGCGCCGGGCGGTCGTGTTGCGAAAGGGAAATTGCTGTGGCTGGTTTTGCTCACGAAAACTTTGTGCGCGAGGTGGTGCTTCAAGATGCCGAAGTCTACGCCCCTGCATCAGGATGGATACACTCATGTGCGAGGACTGACCAAAGTAAGACCGCTCACCACAAAGTAGGACACAACGTTCCGCGGCAAGCCATTCTGGCTGACGAAAGACTTGTCATCACGTTCTGTGATAATCGGGATGCCGTATTGTCCACCAAAAAACGCCTGCCCTCGATCATTCAAATATGAAGTTATAAACATCCTCAAAATCGGCGTGAAATTCCGTGGCACTGACCTAGAATGCCTCGAACGGCCCAAGAAAGGAGCGATTCGGGTATTCTAGTTCGGAAAACGTTTGGTGTCGATTGTCACGACTGTTTGCAGAAAGTCGCCAACGGCAAATGAAGAGAAGCGGAAGCTTTAATCAAGAAATAAAGTAATCATCTTTACTTTCACCGTGTTTGTCGGCGCGAAAGAGCAAAACACGAAAACCGTGTCACCAGACTCTGTTTGTCTCTGCATTTTGAAGTGTTTTGTTGACAACTCTAGTCCCACTAGGAAACAAGTTTCCTTGCCCCCGTGTTCTGCGTCGTGTCCGCCAGGTGGGACGGCAGACTCCGACAAACAGGCTGTCTGTCGGTGTCGTCTGTCGCTTGTTGCCGTGTGTCGCTGTCGTTTGTTGCTGTCTGTCGCTCTGGTGGGATGCGGCTATTAGTGTTTCCAGGGTAGTATTAGAAAACACTTCCTATGAAGCATAACAAAGTAACTAGCAGCTTTCAAAGCTAAGAAGGGAATGATTATTTTTATAATGTAATACGAAACAAACCTCAGTGACATTTGTTTGTCATTGAGGTGCCTGCTTGTCCAGTGACAAACCGCCATACACCTTTGAAGCCCTGTCCGAGGGACTTCTAGGTACTGTTGGGTTTGTAGACACCTAGAAACACCTTTGCTTCAGTCGTGATACTTTTCAATCCTACCGGATGCTTTCCAGCCTTACATCATACATTATGTCCAAGGGATGTCACAGTGACGTCTGTCAAGTTCACTCAGAAGTCAGCTTAGGTTGCAATGCCTGCCACTACAACACTATTTTTACCAATGCTTTGTTCTAGTGCTTATTTTGTTGCTCGTTCACAAAAGATCTAATTCAATACAACTGTGATTGTTATTTAAGATAAGAACGCTCCAGCCATCGACAAACCCCAGAAGCCTCGTGGACTGTGTCCTCCAGAGAAGACCCGACGTTTGCACCGAGGGGATGCGGTGGGGCAGGGACAACGAGCCAAACGCCAAGCGGGAGTACAGGCTGTTCATGGAGAGGAACCACAACGATTTCAAGCTAGAGGACATCGGTTTTGTCATTGATACTCGGGTAAGTGCCCCACTTTTCGGTCATTTCTCAATGCACTACGGAAGAGCTTCCAAAAACATTATACAATGTTTTAGAGGGCAATCCCGGTCAATTCCACAAATTTTGAGATTACGAGTGATTACCATGTCAGAACTACTAATAATTGCTTCTATGTAATTTGTTTTCTGGGGAGCCAAATAGTTTTCTTGAAAACTTCGTAACGAAAATCACAAAGCGAAACCGAGACATTGCACGCTGCAAGGCAACATCGGTCCCGCTCGTCGCATTACAGGATATCAAGTAGTAAGGAGAGCTGCATCGGCTATGTCATCAACCCTCCACACCCTTTATTTGTCTCGCCTTTGCGCACTGAGTCTCAAAAAATAGGAAACCAACAAAACAATTCATATTTGTGACGTTTCCCGCAGGGTTGGCGTGTCCGCACAGTGGCGTCTACTGCACTGTTCCACGCACCGCCCACTAGATAACGCAGATTTCATGACTTATGGTGAATTCCACTGGTACATCCGAAGCGCTTTCCAAAATCTGCGACGGAGGAAAAATTCCGCTCCGTGGCACCCGCTCCGAATCGAGGAGGGGAAGATAAACTTGCATTTTTGGAACGCCCTCCCCCACACCGCTCCCCACAGCTTTCCCCTCCGCCGTTGAAAATGGCCGCTGCTCGAACTTGACAAGCCCACCAATGCGCCAGCTGACTGATCTTTCTGATGACCAGTGACAACTGTCACTGCTTAGCTGCGGAAATAACACGCGACACAGGCCGGGCGAAATTATACGTACCACGGCGCCCATGTCACAAATAACGAAGTCGTCCGCGTTCGGCACCGTCACATATTTTTCGGCCGCCTCGAAGCGGCGGGGCACGGACAGCGATTGCCAGCGGTGGAGTTCATTCAGATTTCTGGTGCGACTTTTATAAACGAAGAAGTAACAAACCATCACTTGCACGGTCGTTGCCTAATCTCCAATTGCTTTATTGCACGGAAAAACACCGGCAGAATGTTGTGTAAAAAGGTAAACAATCGTTGGCTGCAGAATGAAAAGGCCTAACCTGGCGTCTGCCTCCGACTTTTCTATCATTCTTTTTCTCATTCTTCCTCTCACGATCACAGATGTCAGCATTTACGATTTACCATGCTCCACAGTCCCGACTTTGTATCCCTGATCTGCGCAAGGTAGAAGCGTTCGAGCCGTCACAATCCCACGTAAACAACCGACGCACCCAAACAGATCCAACTCGACGACCCGACCGGCCCGCCGACCTGTCCAACCTCGCCACACATGCGCACTGCCGATTTAGAAGGAAATCATGTGGGCTGCTCTGTCAACTTCCGGAAAGATCTGTGAAATCCCGCAGAGCAAGTTCGGCTTGGTTTGGGGCGCTCCACGAGGCGGGCGCTGCCAGAGATCTGCGAGCGGAAGATGACGAACTCTAGCCAGATCTGCGAGCGGAATATGTGCGCTCCATATGGAGCGCCTTTGGAGCGCTCGAGATCTGCGAGCGGAATTCACCATTAGTTGGCTCGTTTAATAAACATTTAGGCAGAATTATGTCGTAATATTGGACGTGAAGGCTTTTGGGATGATGCGACGTAGGACTGCATTGTTTTCTCAACATTTAAATTTATGTGCAGTTGTCCTTCAAGCCACACATTATGCTCGCATTAGTTATGTTGCCTTCTGTGAAGGTGCAGTATGATGTTCAAAAACAGCACTAATTAAAACAGCATGCTTAGACAGATCAATATAGTAAAGTGCTGCTTAAAACTGTATTTATTTTTTTACTGGCAGTTGCAATAAAGAGAATCAGCAACAAGAATACCTTCCAAAAAAATGTTATGTTTGTACCCGGTGTCAAGCACCGCAAAACTTTACATATCCATCAAAGCGCACCTGTTATGGCATGCCAGAACTGTGGGCTGCTCACAACACGTCCACACTTGTTGTGGGCGTAAGCTTTCTTGTTCGTAGACAGCGTGTTGATTCATACCTTCCCAAATCAGGCATGCAAAGTCACAGCTCTTTGAGAACAGATGAGTACCATTTACAAAAAAGATGCAGCTCCTTCTGTTTAAAGGAACTTCATGTGAATAGCTTTTTGAACATTCGCTCAAGTGGCGCAATTTTCGCAGGACTCCTTCATTGGTGCCTCGCCGGATGGGATCTGGAGCTGCTCCTGCCATGGTGTGGGCATCCTGGAGGTGAAGTGTCCAGCGGTCCTTAAGGAGCCAGGCACGCCGATCACAAGGGTGGACTGCCTCAATGACAACCTCGAGCTCCCTACCTTCCATAAGTACTACACTCAGGTGCAGACCCAGCTGCATGTGTGCCGCAAGAGTGTGGCCCATTTTGTTGTCTGGGGGCCGGACGACCTCCATGTGCAGGAAGTAGCTTATGACAAAGCTTTCTTTGCTCCAATCCTCAGCAAGGCGCGACAGTTCTGGGCAAAACACATCGCTCCAGAGCTCGTGTAATAGCCACACTCTGGGGTTGTTGCATAAAATGGCTATGGGCACTGTGCAATCCCTCTGAAGGACTTGGAAATTATATTGTGTTGTCATTGTGTGCCGTTCTGTTCTACAAGGTGATCCAAGGAGACGCCAGGCCCTTTAAATCGACCTTAAAATTTGGTTTCTTAACCGATCACGCTGCGACTTTGTGCAGCGTTGCCCACAGATGGTGCATTTTTTTTGTAAAATTTGCAAAGAGCGAACTTACCTGAGGAAAAAGTAAAGAAAGAAAAAGGCTTAGCTCCTATGGAAATGCAGCGACGCCACCGGTCTGCAAACAACACTGCGCCGTTTTGCACGGGAGAAAAGAGATGGTGCAACGAATGCCACCAACGAACGAGCCGAGAGCCGGCGTTTTTAGCAGACAATCTTTTCGACTTAAAAGCGGCGCGCGTTCCGTAGGCGGCGACAGTCGCAGAAACAAAGACAGGCGCAGTAACAACGAGGAAGTGCAGTTCCTTGTCTGCTAAAGATGCCGGGTCTCAGCGTCGTACGCTCGTTCATTGGCGGCAGTTGGCGTCGCGACCGCTTGCGCCATCTCTTGTCTCCCGTGCGAAACGGCGCCGTGTTGTTTGAAGACTGGTGGCTTCGCTGAGTTTCCATAAGAGCTAAACCTTTTTTTCTTTACTTTTTCCTCGGGTAAGTTCGCTCTTTGCAAATTTTACAAAAAATATGCACCATCTGTGGGCAACGCTGCACAAAGTCGTAGCGCGATAGGTTAAGAAACCAAATTTTGCGGTCGCTTTAAAGAGCCTGGCGTCTCCTTGAATCACCCTGTAGAACAAGACTAAGTGTTGCATTTATGGAGCGATTGTGGTTCAAGGGTCAGTTTTTAAGAATGACAGCATATGTGGTGCATTGAGGCAAGCAGCTGAGTGCATCAACCTCTACTTACGAACGATCTACAGTCAAATGATGACCGTGTTTTTATTACCGAGAATTTTTTTAGTAAGGATCAAGGAAGTTACCGAGAATTTTTTTAGTAAGGATCAAGGAAGCCCGCAGCATTTCACTCGAAGCAATTTGGTTTGATGTAAACTTTTAGGAAAATGACCTTGCCAAAAGGCAAACAGAACATTCTGCGTGATGTTTGGTCCTCCCGTTTATGTACCAGTCAATTAATAGATAGTGACAGTCATGATATTTACTGCAGTGTTAGGCATGTGTTTCTGTACCCATCACAATACCAAAAAGTGCTTGACTCGACAAAGGCAGACAGTATGATACCTGTTCTATGCTTCCTGTAAATAGTATCACATTGGTTTTCATCTACCATGAAACCTAGTTGTCCAGAACATTCACATCTTTACACATGCTTTTGTTCACTGCTTGCTTGGCACACTGTGTCATGTTGCCTTATGCTGCAGTTCCTTTATGCTGTGTACTCCAACAAAAAGCAATCCAAGACGTTGGGATGTCTAAACGAGTACACAATAATCCTATTAAAGGGAAGATGGGGCACTTCTACATTTGAGAAAAAACGCTTGAATTGCGTTCATTTGGCCTTTAGAATAACAGATATCAAAATTATATTTCAATGCGACGCGCCGGAGAGCCACAAGAGCAATTTCAAAATAGGGCTGATGCCCCACCCCCCTAGCCTTGGGCAGCCAAAAGATCCGTCGATGACGTCACGGACAGCGAATGTCTTTCGAGTTTTTCTTGCGTTTAACAATACTTACGCAGCAAATGGTTTGGGTATTCGGCTTCAAGGGGTAAAAATACACTAGAATTCACTTCTAACTCATTTTTTCCAAGAAGCTCCGTACCTTCCCTTTAATAGACAGTGTTGTCACAGTTTTCAACAAATTTCAAAATGTGACTGCTTTGTAACATTTTATTTCATGAAATTTCATGGCAGTAACATTAAAAACTAAAGAAGGCAATAGTGACAGTAAAGTGCAGGTTAAAAACACAAATAAAGAAATGCAGGGCTGCTTTTTCACACTATCGACAGAGTCCTCTCACAACCTCTTGCAACAAGATGCAACACATAGCTGCCCTACCTAAGTAAGGAAACTTTCCTAGCTTCTCTTGTAGCATTGATGAGGGGGTTAGTTGGTAGTTAATTATAAAAAGCTTCTGTTCGCTTGCTACGCGAACACGCCACCATTTTTTTTTTATTGCAACGTCTGTGTCAACGTTGGTGTGTGTGCGGCGATTTAGGGCAGGAATGTTCATCTAGGATGTTACTACAAGATGCCGTTCATCAATGAGCAACTAAAAATTGTCTGAAGTTTTTTCCACTTTTTGAGACTGTTCGTTGCCTGCTAGAATGATAACTAGGCCTAGTTGATCTGCGGAGACGAGGTGGAACCGGGCGTCGATACCGTGGCTAGGGGCGCGATTGATGGTATTTTTTGTGTTCTGATTTCCAATCTCCTAAACTTGGCGCTATTATTTCGTCATGGTTGCTCGGTGAAGCTAGCTATTAATATGTTTGCAGTAATAAATATTTGTTTAATGCTGTTTGTTTGACTTACTCCCTGCTTTGCGATCGCATGTCATTCGCCAAACCACAGTCCCTCGATTGTCCTGTCGGTGGAGTGCGACGGAGTGATTGAGGGGCATTGGCCAAACACTCCGCATGTGTTGAAAAATTTATGCGCCGATTGTCATAGGCAATTTTAATTTCACTAAAGGTTCAGTTAGTCGAGCCTGTAGCGCAACCTTTTTAACAGTCAGCTTTTGTAGTTACATACTGGAAGCTTTAATCAAAACCCCCACCACAAATAAGGCTCTCTTTATTAGAGTAATTCCGCTGTTGACCTTTATTTGAGTAGATTGGAATGAAAACTGCGGCTGGGTACACTGCCATTTTTAAAGTTTGTTATCGTACTGGCTGGCACGAAAATCGCCCACTGAAAAGGGTAACACGCGTTTGCGGAACACAGTTTGCGGCTTGTTTTGTCCACTAAAAGCTGTGGAGCAACCGAGCGAACGTCCAACTAGTTGATCATCTCATGATGAGCATGCGTTGACATTGCCAGCGTGCTTCGTCTGTGTCGGAGGACACGAGGTAGAGGCTTTTTGCGCCTCCCTAGCTCCCCTTAAGGCCCCTACGCACATCTGCATTTGAGCGCAGTGTGTTCCATAGCAGCAAGTGGATGCGTTGCGTTGCGAAGAGCACTTGCACCAAGCTTGTACACACAGTTGCGTTGACACGCAGTCAAGAGCCAATAAGAATGCGCGCCTCGTCACTAGCGGCTCACCAATAGTAAGCGACACCCATGGCAACATAGCGGCGCCCAGTGACAGCGTAGAAGTATTCGATCTTGGGACTTTTCCAATGGCTTCCGTGACTATTTGTCGAGCTTGAACCATCGCAGCCTCGGAAAAAGCAGTCTCCACCGCTCCCCAAAACGAAAAAGCAAGTACTGCGAGAGGAGAGCCGGATAAGCCTCACCAAGTGGCGCGAGCAAACACGTGACCCCCTTCCCTTCTTTTGGCTTCCGATTGGTCAAACGCACCGCAATACTTTGGAAAGTTGAGCGACGCTCTATTCCCTTGCGTCTTGCTACTGAGCGTTGCGGGAAGGCGCCTGTCGCACCGCAAGCGACTGCTCCTGGCCGTAAGGACGTCGTAATGCACTCGAACGTGTTCAAATGCGAATGTGTATATGGGCCTTAAGGCATGTTGCGCATCTTGCTGCAAGCGGTTGTAAGAAAACTCTGTCGCCAGTGTGTGAACCAGCCTTTAATTGTATCCTACAAGCAAGGAAGTTGGCGAGGTAGGTATACGTAAAAAAATACTGCAAGCTTTATAACCAGTTATAACCTGATAAAAGCTGTCTTCACGTCAACCGTGGTCGCATGTTTGTCAGAGCTGCACAGATGTTAACAACGCTGGTTGCATAGCGAAGCAAACTCACAGGGAGCCTGTCCCTCAAGATACGGTAGACCTTCATTCTGCCGATGGCACGTTCGACATGAATTCGTATTCTAGATATCTGTCGCGCCTCCTCAGCCTCTCTAGCAGGAAGCTGCTTTTTACCACGAGTTAGTGCCGGTACCACAAGACGAGCACCGCGCCTGGCCACATCCTCTTTAATGAGAAATCCTCGATCTGCGAGAATAACATCGCCATCTGCGAGCTTATCAAGAAATCCCGATGACTGAATGAGCTTCTTGTCGGATGCTCGCCCGCCCCAGCACTTTGACACAAAGCTCACAGCGCCATTTGGCGTTATCCCAATCAAGAATTTGACCGTGTTTGTTCCTTTGTAGTGCGAGTAGGTTTCTGATCTTGCACCAAATGCCAGTGGCCTTTCGATGCGACACTCCGTACAGTCAATGATTGCTCGGCAGTCTGGATACCGCCTTCTGACCAGTGTGGGCAATGTCCGTGACGTATCGTCTTTTGTGGGCCAGATTATAAACCGCTTCAACTGCGAGCTAAGGACAGGAATGTTCACTTTCATGATTTTGCCAATAGTGGTCTCTGATAACCCAAACCTGTAGCCAAGGTCCACATTCAAGAGCGCTAACCTCAGTTTCATAAGCACAATAAGCACAACATCGCCCAACGTGCTGCCCTTTGGAACATAGGCTTGAGCTCCCTCCAACAAGGCTACAATGAAGAAAAATGTGGGGAGGTTCGGCAAACCAGTGTAAAACGTCACAGAAAGGTGCCCCAGTTGCCGTGCAGAGAAAGGTACAGTTCCTGTTTCTTGCCCAGGCTTCGTCGGTGGCACAACAGGCTCCGCTGGCTTGGCCTTCAGGATGTCGACGTCCTTCTGCAGCCGTAAAACCTCTGCCTCCAGGTTCTGCACCCTCTTCTGAACAGCCTTGAACTGTGGTTCTGAAGCCAAAACAATGTGTAAATAAATGCTTTTCCATGGTAATTGAATGCTTCCACTAAACTTTCTGCTTATGCTTACATTCTCATTGCCTTGGGTTTTAGCAGAGTGGTTGGCAAGAGCATTTCGAAAAAGTGTCTTAAGGCACTTTGAGAAGTCAGAATCTCTTGTTTTAGTAGTAGATATTTAAACAGCTGGTCAAATTGGCCCACTTTAATTTAGCAATATTTACTAGAGAATGTTGAAAGCTGCTTGCTCACCCGAATTCAGTGAGTACATGCCAGTGATTGTGGCAAACACAAATTGCTTTTCTAAAGCCATAATTTGAGTTTGGGGTCTATGGACTACGAAGTGTGAATAAGTATGACAGCTTGACGTTTCCATCAAAGTTAAAAAAATAAAGGTTTGTGTATGACTCTCCCAGAATTGCTTGTCAGTTTGGTTTTGGTGGCATACTTACCGCAAATGTAGCATGGCACAGGTACAAGGAGGTTTGTCTGTGTTGATGTGTGCTGAGGTGCTGGAGGGGTACTGTGGGAGGCAACTAAACACTGCATGGGTTAGGAATTTGCAAACAGCAAAACATTTGCTTAGCAACGAAATTAAATAGTTGGGAGAAACTCGGACACAACTACGTTTTCAGTGTAACTCTCTTAAATATCAAAATTTAAAAGACAACAAATTTACTATGATTAAAACTTCATAAATATTCTTACCTTCATCGCATGCGCCTTCACCGCTAAGCGTGTCACAATGCGCATCACCGGGACACGTCCCGGGTACGAGAGGCGATTGATCTGCGCAGAACGAGTCAAAATTAAAGAACTCTTCGATTAGTTCCAAGAGCAGTGAGGCAGCAATCTCTAGCCGCCTCAGACCACTTACCTTCGTTGCCGGTTTCCGCGCTGCCGGCGGGATCAGCAGACTGGGGGACTGCGGAAGTGTGGAGAAACTCGGACACAACTACGTTTTCATTGTAACTCTTAAATATCAAAATTTAAACTACTAAAAATCTACTATGACTAAGACTTCATCAATATTCACCTTCGTCACATGTGCCTTCACCGCTGGGTGTGTCACAGTGCGCATCACCGGGACACGTCCCGGGCGCGAGAGGTGATTGATCTGCGCAGAACGAGTTTAAATTAAAGAACTTTTTGATTCGTTCCGAGAGCGGCGGGGCAGCAATCTCTAGCCGTCTCGGACCACTTACCTTCATTGCCGGTTTCCGCGCTGCCGCCGGGATCGACAGACTGTGGATCTGTGGAAGTGTATTTGTTAATTGAATAAATACACAAAGCGTCCTTTAAGTCGAAGTATGAATTTTCTTACCCTCATGAATACAAGGGACGACAAGCGGTAACGCTTCGTTTGTTCTGTCGCCGATCTTCCGCTTGGTAGCACGTGCGTAGCGAGCCACCGACGAACGCTTGACCGGTGCTTTGTGCGCGAACACCGTGGGCACAAAATCCGGATGGTCTGGATCTAACGACGGTTTCCCTGCACATAAGCAAGCCTCGGGACGGAGATTGAAATGGAAGCCACACTTACCTTCAAGAAAGTGCTTGCCGCACGAACGGTCGTCCGCACGAGGCGACCATTTTTTGCGATCTACGGATACGATCCACCTTCTGCGCCTATCAGAATCCGCCGGGAACTTGTGAAAGCTCACCCCGCTACTTTTGCTGCACCTTTGGGTGCAATTGACGGCTACACAGCTTTGCGGCATGCTCAAATCCTATGCCGCCCATGCAAAACGTGCGGCCTTTTGCCCACACCCTGCCACGCCCCCTCGGCTCCGGCGCGATCGCAGCGCCGCCGCAGCTCCGTGACGTCAAGCCCGCGTGTGGGTGTATATTTCTTATTCTGCACGTGATTCCAATTTTTAAAAAAAATATGTACTTACACCCTGGCGACGTTTTATCATAAAGTATGCCGAAAGGAGCATATGGTCTAACAAATGCCAGAAACTCTAAAAGCTTTAACATCATAACAGAAGGCCCCTAAAAAGTTAAGTAAAATTGCTAGGAAATTGTTACTTACGCGAAACATTCTATCATCAACACCGTTCTGCGACACTCTCAGAGCCCTCTTTATACGAGTGTTTAACGCCTACTATATCTACATTTTATAGTTCTTATCTGTGTTTCACGTGCGCGTAACGGAATTCGCTATCCAAGTTTGTGTACTGGGAACAGCTCCACCTCGTGGCTGCATCAACATGCAATCGGTGTCACGCAAAGTCAATTTCGTGCTAAATTAGGCGGGAAAGCTGGATTCTAGTAGGTGTACTGGCCTTGCTAGCCTGCTATGGACATGCTATGGAACGAGAGCTTAGGACGGCCCTAAGCCTGTGGTAGCTCTATATCCAGATGAAGTCCAGCTGTAAGTAGGGCAACTGTAGGTTAACATTACGATGGTGAAAACATATTCGTGGTCCAATATTCTATAAAACGTCCACAGCGACAATTCTATGGGATGCTGCTACAAAGTTCATAGAATTACAGTAGGCCAAATTGTTATAGGATGCTCATTGGAAGGGCCTAGAACAACGATCGCTAAACTCCTTAGGGGGTCCATAAGCAGCTGCTAGAATACAATTCGGACACTGAGCCGCCTCATAGTCGTGCTATTCACAGCTTAGCCATTCTCAAGTCTTGTCAACGACAGGAGCGGTGGACACTTGTGCACGAGAACTGCGAACACATGCCGTAACCGTTCCACGCAATGGAGTATCATCGGCGTGTGATGTCACCATGTTATGAAGGAGATTCAAGGTGAACGAGAATCGGAGGTAGGTACCCGTCTCGGCGACGAGCGGGTATCGTACTATGAAACTTTTTTTTTTTCTTTTAAAAAAGAATGTTGAAAAGGAAACGTCAGCTTGACTACACAAGCAAATCAGGACTGAAGAAATTAGCTAGATAAACATGGATCACATTTTAGAAATTTCCAAATCTTTACATTTCGAGAATGAATATTTTTAATATAACGATAGCTAATTTAATTAAAAATGCACTTCAATTAGAATTACAGTTATCTTAATGCAAAATTAGTTTAAGAACACTCGCAATGATTACCACATGAAAAGCAATTAATTACAATTACAAGTTAAGAGTTGTTTGGAACGCAACGTATTTCTTCATTCCTTCCCCTAATATTTCAGGAGGCTTCAGCATTCCTGTATAAATGTCACGTATTGTACTTTCCGTTGATAAATTTTGTTAAATTAATGATAGAACTTGACAGTTTGCGTCAATGAAGTCCCATGTTCTTATATTTTAGTAAGACGTAATAAACTACTTCATATGCTCGAAAACGCCAGATCGCTAAGGTAAAATAGCGTTGACACACTATTGTTAGCCAGGCAAATAAAAGTGAGACAATTAGTCATATCTGAATATTATAATGGTGTAATTATAAAACTGAATTTTATATTCACAAATACGATTTCATTAGCACACACAAGTTTTATGTTCGTGTAATTACATACAGTGAGTTGAAATCAAATTGGCTCCCCTATTGTAAAAACGTAAAAGAAACATGGCTGCTGCTTGTACAGTTCCGGTATGACATCACATAATTTATTTTGTATTACGCATGCAGCTAGTTTGGTTTGGCGTTCTGCATAACTGGAGATACCGGCACCACTATGGCTCCGCTTCTTACTATAGTGGCAGCCAGTTTGTTTGCCGATAGGATTCGGTGTGGCTGGAATGATTTTCCGTCCCATGACCGTATGGGACCGTCTTCTTCCAAGAAAACGCTCATACCACCGAACCACCGGTATCACCAAATCACACATGCAGAAAGGCGACCAACAACTTTCAAAAAACGTCCATCATTTACCAGCGGTATCGTTAGTTATATCATACATGTCAAAATGGAACACAGACCGAAGTTGAGCTCATACAAATTCCTCGGTCAACTCTTCATGGCGACGTCTTAGGGCGACTGTCTCGAATAATGTGCACCACAAGTATTCGACAGTCGCACCAGCCGTACCGCATAGCAAAGCCAACGTGCGCGGCAACAAACCGGTCGTGACACCAAGCCGAGGATACCGCTTCACATCATCACCGGTGGACAGCGGCCAGCGGGCCGTTGCTCGTATTCGGCCAACTCGGTGCTTTTTCGTGTCTCGGGGTCTCGGGAATTACACCACACGGCTGCGCTCGCCTCTCCTGGCTACACGGGTGACGCTGCTACGAACAACGCAGGCTTCGAAGTACAGTCGTATCTTTTTTTCGACGTCACGTTGCTACCAAGGCCGGATGAGTGTTTTTCGCGCTGCAACCCCACCACCGCCGCGGGCGTCCCGTCGGCAAGTGCTTCCGCTGCCGCTCCCGAGGGTTCCATCTTCGCGGAGACGCAGCAAGTCGACGGCTCACTCTACGTTTTACGGGATAGATGTTTGGCGGTCCGGTTCTACACTGACACTCGGGCCTTCAACTCGACGGCGCCTCTCATATTTCAACCAGGTGTGGTCAGCCTAGGTCAGCGCGGCGCGGACGGCTGGCCTCGACGTCTTGACCGGTCGCCCGACCGCCGATGACTTCGAAGTTAGGCCTCGGATCCGAATGCTTCGTTCCGTGAAGCGGTAAGCGAATTTCATCCCATTTTTGTTCTACTTTTATATTATGTTATTTTCGCTTTATTTTAAACATATGTGCAAGGTGTTGATGAACATTTTTCGATAGAACAATTGGGCTTAATCACCGTTTTTCATTTACCGAAAATGTAAACCGAGCCGATGAACGAGGTGCCATGCTTGAAATCGACGTACGATGTTACCTTCCACCAAAGCGGATTAAAAAAAACTAAAAACACTGTGGTTATGGCTGAATGCGAGGCTGGTCCCAATGCAGTGGTAAGCGCTTAGAGCGCCTTTCTGAACTGCATGTAAGCAATTTAGCGAGTAAAGAGACGAGGGCCGGCGACGAGCGACGGAGATTTTTCACCGTCTCTGGTTGGGTCGCTCGATATTTGATTTTCCGAAAACGCCACTCATCGTCCTGAT